TATGGTTATCTTTTTGTGCATTTCTCCAAGAGATGGGATTTGGGGATCTCCTGTATTTCTGAATATAAGATGTTGAGGGCTCTTCAGAGGACAAATTCTCTTTCCTTAGCAACATTTCATCCTTGCTTGTAGCAGAAGGACTGTTCACACAGTCTTCCTTTTCTTTCGGAAATCCTGCTCTCTCTATTCCTGCTGTGGTTTCCTTCTCCAGCTCAGTTTTAGGTGTGTCCTCTTTTGGGGAGTCATTACAATGGAGCTCTGCAGGCTCCTTCATGAAAAAAACACTATCCCACTCATCTTCAGAGCTGCTGGGTTGCAGTTTGTCTTTTGCTTTTTTCCGCTTGCGACTGGTTGTGGCAAATATAGAGGACTTGAGTAGCTCTCTGCTGTATTGATTATTTCCAGATCCCCAAGAACCCTGTATGGAAAGAAACCCATTATAAGCATCATGATTTTTTTTAAAAAAAATAATCATAGTTGTGGTTCCAAATATTTTCTTTACAAATCTTCCAATGCAAAATTTTATGTATGTGAAACTGAGATATATGTTATTACCTGTCACCGCTGAGTTGTTCTAAACAAAACTGCTCTAGCACCATAACATATCAATTACATAGGCCATGGTTTCTTGACCTGTGGCTTAGGACTCTTCAGGAAATCTCACCAATTATAAATGCACTGTTATTATGAGCCTGATCAGCCTTGCATAGCCATAACCAGATTGCTATCAAAACAATCTCTTTAGTTTGCCTATACTAGTGCTTTTGGACAATTGCTGTGATATAGAAGCTTTTTTTTTTCTTTAAATGCAATCATTTATAATTTGTAAAAGCACAGTGGCCTAAGGTGAAATGAATGTAGCACCTTTTTTTCTGAAGCAGTGCCAAATTAAAAATAACCTTGCCATTATAGTCTTAAAATGTAGTTGATTATTCACCAAAGTACCAATTAACATTAATCAGGATTGCAATTTTGACTGAGTGACTTTATTTTAGTCAAAATTTGCAATTGAGTGTCTCAAACTAATTAACATTAATTCTGATCTATCATTCACTTTTTTTTTTACAAAACTCGTTTTATATTGCTTTAGAAATATTTTACAATATATTCTATGTTTCCAATACAAGATTTGTGCAGATTTCATTTACAAAAGACTCATAAACTAAGATACTAAGAATACAAATACCTATATAACATCCCTTACATTGTATGCCACCAATCATATATTTTTCAATGTAAACCTGTATAATCTTTCATTCAGAGCATTTCAGGATAACGGGATTTAACCTCTTAACCTCTTTCCCACAATCTATCTTTAAAATTAATAGTTGCCTCTAGTCATGCTAATGAAACAAGATTACGCATATTGTATTTACACATAGCAACATTAAAGTGAATGACATATTTCTTACCGCTAATAATCAGGCCCAAGAAGTACAGTGGGTGAGTCATTTAAATTCATGTATAAAAAACCAGAGCCCAATTCAAAGCTCCAAGGGTCTTAATACAAAGAAGAGAAGCTCTTTATTGTCAGAAGCCATTTTTTGTCAACAGCCCATGAGAGATCTACTAAAAATAAGCCTGTAAGCCCTCTCTCAACATTGCAATATATAGGCTCAACCCTGTAAAAATACAGGTGAATGTTTTACCTTAAATTTTGCAGAGTCACCAGTAGCTGAATCTATAGGGGAGGGGAAAAAAACACCAAAACATCACTTCAGTCAACATGGCACAAAGTTTTGTTTTTGCTCTAGACAATGCTGAAGTATGAAAGAAGACAAGCACAACAAAAGGTGAGAGCAAACAGATAACAGAAAAATTAAATAATCAGAACAGTGGATAGTAATTGCTCACGAAGATGCAAGCTGCACCACAGAAAGCCACCACCATGAAAAGATGCTGTGAGTTGGAGGCAGAATCAGCTCAATGACAGAAATGGCAAAAAAGCCCTTTCTTCTAAAACAGAAATACTAATATTTATTTAATGCTCTAAGCGCACGGCCCTGCAAAACCGCAGCTGGGGGACCTTTTTCAGGACTGCACTCTGTACATTCCAGCAAATGAAATGTACATTTAAAGCGTTATCTTTTCGTGCCTTAGACCGCTTACTGAAACAATTGTTAAAATTCTCTTTTTGCAGTTCTTGTTTGTATGCTGTCAAATTATATTGGGCTTTATGGATTTAAAAGCCCCAGTTAACATTTCAGTGCTCCTCCGAGCTATTTGTTTAAGAATTTATCATTATTTAGATTTTTTTTTCCACAGCCATCAGTTTTGTACTCATCTCAAAAACAGAAGCGTTATTATGAAATGAAAAATGGATACCATAATTGTACTGTTCGGCAAAATAAAACAACAGAGGTTATACAATTAGAAAGGGGGTACGGAGGGGCTAGCAGAGTAACTAAAAGGCATTCTCCAACTTGCCAGGAGAGTGACCTCACTGGAAAATTAATGAGCTGAACCCCATGCCATGCCCCTTTTGACACATGGCTAATGACTAGAAAAACCAGTGGACCATACCATGCTATTTCTCCTCAGGGTCTGCTTCAGAAGTAACAAGAAACAGCAGAAATACTTTTAAAAAGTAGTATTGATCTGTTCAAATACTCTTGAAAGGATAAATTTACAGTACAGATCAACTAGTCCTTTGTGCATTTACAAGAAACGGGGATTTCTGCAGACAAGGCAGCTACAATGTGGGCAACAATCCTCCTTCTTCCTACAGTTCCAGTTGTCCATCAGTGACACCACAGAGTCCACTAGTGACATCACCGTGTGATAGACTCCTCCCACTTCTCCTATTTCAACATCAGGATAGAGGGGCTGTTTCAATAATATGCTGAAAAAAGTTGTCTATAAACTAAAACACAAGCTAGAGACAAAGGAATAACATTTCGGATAAAAACATATTTAGTGAGACAAGTATGGTGGCAGTTTGCAGTATTATTACTTAGCTGAATAATAAGGTGGCAGTCATAAAGGAGAAAAAGCATTTAATAATGAACAAACATAATTAGTTGCAATATAATTTGGAAATATATACTTATTAGTCGAGCAAAATGAATTTCAAAATCTTGATTTGCCTTCCCAAGTTTAAAAAATTACTACCATTAGAACAGTGTGTAGAAGTTAAAGCTTTCTGCCTTCTTCTCAATGACTTACAAAGTAGTAGGTACCTTATCCATGTCATGTTAAAAAGTACATGGGTAACCATGGTCAATGATACACTAGTGAACATGCTGTTCTCATGGTCTAAGAATTATATTAGTTGCTGAGAAAGCATTCCAACCTACATCATGCAACATGCTCAACTCACTGCTGACCTTTAAATAATACACCTAAGATCATGTAGATAAAGGGAGAAATTGAGTTTATTAGCAAAGAAAGAAAAAGGAGACCATTATAATAGATCATCAGAAGAGAGAATTTTCTAACCTACAAACTGTCCAGGCAAGAGTTACCTGATACATCTCCAGGATATACTCCAATCCTTCCAATGTTGCTGAGTAAATGATCTATGCTTGGCACTGGCTGAGACTCTACTGTGTTTGCTTCCTGAACTCCTGTCTATAGTTAATAAACAAAGATTTCTTCATCATCAAGTCACAGTCAGTGGTTTCATCATGATTCAACAGTATATAGAAAAATTAGTCACCCGAGAACTGAAAAGAATGTCAATATTCCTATATGACATTTAAGGAAAAAGAAAAATATTCAAGCTGGCATATTAAACGGAGAAAAAACTATCCTGGAAGAGAAATTTACAACTTCCTTTTATATGCTATTTCCATTATTTCATGGATAAAACCTTTGGTATGTTTTGGTGTGGAGAGGGCAAAAATCATATATTCATTTGTATGCTCTGAATTAAAACAGGAGAAGCATCCATTTAGTTAAGGTTAGTACTTACAAAAGGTTGTTCAGCATCATCTTCTGCGAAAAACCAGTCATGCTACAATTCAAAATAAAAGAAGTGAAAAACTCCCCAGAAATGAAAGAATTAAAAAGTGGACATTGAAGAGATAAGTAGCAATTTATGAAAAAATCAAAATCCAGACTGGTCTAACTAAAGATAAAGTTCTGTCTGAATAATCTGTCTAACAACATGAAATGAATTCACTTACTTTTTGGATAAGTGTTTCTACAATTCTGTATTGATCTGGCATATGAGTAACCATATTAGTCATGTTATCTTCAGATGTCCTCACAAGTGTTGGACCAAATACTATTGCCAGGTTTCTTGGTTCCATCTAAAGAATAAAGAAAATGATTGTACTTACGGCACATCATTGTACTTACATAAATGTGTATGTCTCTTTAAAAAGCAGAAGCATCTAACAGTAGCAACCAACTTTGCTAAATTAACCTGAACTTCCTCATTAGAATGAAAATTCAAAATAAAAGCTGATCAGTGTATAAAACTGATTTATATACCAGATCAGGACAACTTGCTCTTTTTACTCTGTTCCTGAATCTAATAATCCTTTAATGTTCATAAACCAGGATCTAGAAAGAGAAGTCTGGTTGAATCCGTTCTTCTCCTCAATCTAAGTACATCAAAATCTCAACATGTTATGAATCTTTAATTAAATCCTGAGCAGGTGATTTTCCTATGGACTATAGTACACTGTTTTTTCCTGCAATAAATCTTAAACCTGTAACTACAGGACTGCTTCTTAGCCATATAATGGAGGAGCTATGGGTTCTGTGTACCTAAGCACATTATCTGTCTATCCAATATATGTGGAAAGAAAAGGAACCGACAAAACCCAATAATGTTTTTCCACAAACGTTGCAGATCAAGGTACACACCTTAAGAAAAAGACAACTAAAATAGCTTTGACCTATGAGACTAGGTGTCTTGTTTGCGTTATTTCTACATGGGAAGCAACTTAATAAGATTTATTTTTCTCTCAAGGATAATGGCAGTCTTTGCTTCTTCACCCCCCCCCCCCCCCCAAATACATTCTTACACTACTGGTTTTCCTATATGTTCACCCAGGGATGGAATTCAACTGGTGTTACTACCGGTTTGGTTGACTACGTTTTGCGTGCGCAAGTTACCTTGTTCTCTTCTGAATGTTCTGCCACAATTCTCAGATGGGCACAGAGAAATCTAAGTGTTTCATAATGATGTTCAGGTAAATCATGGATCTGAAATGGATGATATCAGCATAAAATTTTAAAATAATCCCAAAACATAACAATGGTATCTGCTTCAATCTCTATCAAAAGCAACCTACCAAGTTTTTCAATGTTTTTAGTCGCTCAACAGGATCTTCCTTTCTGTTGGCATCTATGAAAGATGCATATCTCTCTAATGAGAAAGAAAATAATTTTATTGCAAGACTTGCATTACAACCCCTCTGGAGGAAAAAGTTGACCAACTAAGCATAAACAATGGACTTGCGTCACCAGAGTAACACAATGTTTTGCTTACTCTAACTTATTTCAACCAATGTGTATAGCCTGGATCCTCTGTAAAAAAGTTCAAAAATACGACTTTGCAAAAATATGGATATAAACAGATGCTGTGTGATGAAAAGCATGATATGATTTGCATTTATAAAGAAATGCCATTTCAAACATATACAAAGTGGCTTTTATTTGACGTTTATCTATCCTACTATGTATTTCATCTAGTTGTTGCCAATTTGTTTTAATAATCCACACAAGTACCTCTGATCTTGCCATAGAGAAATTATTCCTTGTGTGTTTTTTTTCTCATGCTGAAACAAGTAACTAGAAAAACCCAGTATCCCAAAGACTGTATATTAGCAGCAAGTGCACAGAAATAGGGCCATTAAAAGAAGGCAAGAAAGTAATTCTAATGTATTTTTAATATTTAATTCCCAACCATTAACTTCTGATGTAATTTATGACTCATCCACTCAAATCCAGTTCCCCAGCCACATATCGCAATCCACTGGGGTTCAAGACATTTTCATTTGTTTGTCTTGTTTATAGAGATAGAAAATGGATGCACTCTACAGGTTAATATGTGACTGGGAGGACCATATAGTATTTGAATTATTGGCTACAACCTGTATATGAGAATACCTGAAGAAATGTAATGAAAAGTCCAACAACTGGCAATTGCAGCAACCTGGAACTATTTATTCTGCTTAGCAATAGTTGTTCATAGCAGTTATAAGTCATATGCATCAGCTTCAATATTTTTTAAAAAAATTCATTTAGAAAATTTATATTGCCGCCTATTTACACATGTCAGCTCAAGGTAGCTTGCAAAGATATATTTTCCAGGCTAAGTAAAATAAAACCTGTGCTTTCTGCATATAAGCCAATAATATATACCTCTGAGCAAATAATCCATCCTTGTCTTTTTAAGAGAAATGGAAAGGAATCCTGATATATCTAAGCAATACTAAAATTAAGGAAAACAATGCTTAACTGAATTCTAACAAAACTGTCTTCTTGTTTAATTTATCACAGATAAGTTACGTGATGTGTCTTATTCAATAGTTTTTTCTTCTACTTTGAATCAAAACTTACCATTAGTAAAAAGTGGTTCTGGAAGCTTTCGGAGAAAGGACTTCAATAAACTACTTATGACATTCAGGTCTCTCCATTTCTAAAAATTAAGCAAACAAAACATTGTCATTAAAAAGAAATACCACGAGAATTTAAAACAGAGAGGGCAGAACTCACATCATCTTGAAGATCAATGTCAGTCATTCCTTTGTTCAGATCTTCTTGCAAATTTGAGATGGCAACATTATTTCCTGGAACCCTATAAATACCAGTATATTGAAGACCTCTCTCTTCAACTAGCTTGCAGCATATTTCAACAATTCTTGGAATATACTGAAAAATCCAAAAGGGAATGAAAGTTCGTATTCACTATCTATGTCTCTTGAATAATATTTTTCAAAGAAATTATCAATATGCATGACTTCAATTTTTTTTTAAAAAAAATACCTTATTGCTCTCTGCTGGGGGGCAATCAACTAGTTTGACACCAAATGTGCAAGCGGCAGATGACTTCTTTTCAAATGTTTTTTTCATGATGCTTGGAATGTTTTTTCGCCATATACCTTTATCTTTGGGTGGGCTTGTCTCATCTTTTTCTTCAAGGAAGAACAAAAAGGAAAACAAGTCATTTAAAACCTTCAGAAAGCTAATGGAGTATAACTGGATATAATGATCAAATGCACCATCAAAATAATAATGCGTATAAGATACTTAGTACATTTAAATCTTGAAACAGACTAGAGACTACAGCTTCTCCACAATCAGGCCACAGGTTAACCACAACCTTAGCAACCAATGTCTAGCAATTATATTAACTCTGAACAGAATCAAATTTGGTAGCACCTGCAATCTATATGAACAGTACATAAATCAAACAATTTACAATTTATATATCGACACAATCAACAAAATGATGTTTGTATGTGTATTTGTGTGTGTGCATGTTTATATGCATGTGCTCATGCTTATGTACATATGTGTATTTGTATACACTCACATACCGAGAAGAGAATATATATAAATAAAGAAGAAGAAAAGAGTAAAAGACTACAAATGAGTAAACAAGGATTTTACAAATCTCATGTAATTTCCAGTGTATCATTGCTTGATTTTGAATGCCTGAATACATTATTCAGTCACTTGGTTGCGATGGGTGGCTGTAGAAATTGAATAAATAAATAAATGTCATTTTAAAAGCTTGAAATATCACTATTAAACTCTCAGCAAAGCGTAAATATCAAGAAGCATGGTTAGCACATTATGAACCATAAAATGAAATTGAGAACTCTGTCCGTGCTACTAAATCTATTTTAATTTAGAAGTCTTGTAAAATTAAAATACAAACTTTACACAGACAGAAACCCACATTTTGAATGTGGTACAAATTCATATATTGAACTGTAATTCAAGTAGGGGTTCTTATCTGTATTAAACTATGTTAAGATTTACTTTTAAGATATAATTATTTTTTGGAGGGGGATATATTCCTTATTAACCGAGTATCCATACTTAAATATCTCTTCTGGCTTTCAAGTAACTACCTAAGCTAGTAATTTTTAAAAAAAATAATGCAATATTCTTATGAAACCTAATTAAAATACTTAGCAAAAGAGCATGCTATATTTATTACATTTATATAAATAAGAAAACAATTAGATGTAAACAAGCAGCCTCGTTTTATAAAACTGGCTGCATCAAAAATTGCTACAATGAAAAACAAAATTGTAGTTCTGAGTATAGTAATCAGAGAATGATGGTTTTATTCCTACCGATCCCACTGCCATTTCCACTTTCCTTGACAGAAGATTGCAAATATCTCCAAAGCTTCGTGACTTCATAACAAAACAGAAGATACTCTGTATTTATCAACTTTCTTTCCCAAAATGATATGGAATTATCACAACTACAGAATGAAATGGTTCTATCCTTTTTATATAGGTATCCTTCCCTCCATTTGCCCTTTTCAGTCTACTTCATCCCATACTCTTTCCCACTCCCTTTTCAATTCTACCCCACAGCATGCACATTTCAAATCATTATTTTCCAGATTGTTTCTATCTGGAGTTTCCTTATAAACAAGGAATAATCAAAAGTTCCCAGCACAAAAGGAGTTTCATCATTACTTATCAATGCATAGGATGTTTATTAAATGAACTTCTCTTAATAATGGATGAAACTCCAAACCCCATGACACTTAGTGTCCTCACCATCAGGCTTCCTTCAGTATAATAGGAAAACCTAGAGTAAGTAATAGTATTCTTATATTCAATATACAATACCTTTCGTAAGGAATTTCTTTTCTGATTCCTCCTTAGGAGAATGTGGACTCTGAGTTCTTTGCTCAGTTTTAGTGCCAAGGAATGTCTGTCTTTTAATTAGGCTCGGTCGGGATGGTTTTGAAAGTGGCTCAGTTTTGCCACTAGAAGCACTGAAAAAAAAATATTTAAAAGCAGGAAATCCATGTACTGACTAACTGAGCTCTCAAATGGTACTGTGGTGGCTTACCCCATAATTGTGCTGTATTCTTTAATCTTCTGACTAATTAGATCCCTGCTCGAGACACCTGTGTCCTGCAAAATGAATAGAGAATTATTTTGGAATTTCTGATTTGCACAACTGCACAAATGAAAACTTAACTAGCCATATTTGGGACAGGAGCAGGACATCCCTCAGATGTGTGCAAGGCATAAGAGAATGGCTACACACAAGAAAAATGGGGAAGTGCCCAGCACAACTGAATCCAAATGCAGTGTAAATAAGGAATATCAAGGGAAAGGTGCCGGAGTAGACTCAGTCACAGAAGAGAAGGGAAGGGAGGATCGTGCAAACTACATTTGGCTAGTTGTACCTTAAGGCTCTTCCAGTTTTGCTTAAATCCTGTCAATCTAAATGAACTGTATTTCATGTTAGCCGAACCATAATCTACTTGGAATAGTGTGGCCAATGTCAAAGATGTAATGATTCTTTTTGCTTCATATAGACTCTTACCAATATTACTTTCTCACATTTTAATGGATGTATTATTTCTCTGGTAGGAACACTGAAATCTCATTCAACTTTATAAAAAGCCTGTGAGATTATGGATTTTTAATACCATTAGATAATATTTGTAGCATGTCAGGGTTACCATGTGGAATTGCATAATGAGTCTGGAAAAACACGATCTCTGCAAAATATAAGTAAGTAGGATAAATTCTTAACAAGAACACAACCTCCTCATTGCTGTTTTCACGTATAGCCTTAATCCATGCCAGCATGTCGTCTCTATTTTCAGCTTGAAACAGGTATTCACAGTCTGATGTAGTAAGCCGAAACACATGTTTCTTTTTGGTATCACTATATGAAATGTCTGTTAAACAAGCATTGATGTTGATGGGCTGTTCCTCCTCAGAAAGCATAGTTGGTTCTTTTTTATCCTTGTATAAGTATAATGAACACCCTCTGAGGATGACATACATCTGTTTCCATGGGCGGATGCTTCCACCAACTCTCTAGAAAATAGGATGAAGAATAATATTTATTTAAGAAAACAAGAGGAGTGTGCCCAGTATATTATGTGTTAAACTTTGTAAACTGCCTACTTTGGTGAGATGGGTGGTGTGGAAATTTGATAAATGGATAATAATAAAAAACACTGTCACCAAGCAAGCAGCCATGGTACACTGGTTAAAATGCAGTATGGCAGGCAAACTCTGCCCACTGCTAGGAGTTTGATCCCAACTAGCTCAAGGTTGACTCAGCCTTCCAACCTTCTGAGATTGGTAAAATGAGGACCTAGATTGTTGGGGGCAATTTGCTGATATTTGCAAACTGCTCTGAAAGTGATTTAAAACAGGGGTCTCCAACCCTGATCAGCACCAGCACCGGACTGTAACATGCCAGCAACTGGGCCGTGCAAACAAGCAAACCCCCATCTGCGAAATGCAGGCAGCATACAAAACCACAACCCTGCAGGTCTGTGGAAAAGCCCTTCTCCATGGAACTGGTCCCTGGTGCCCAAAAAGTTGGGGGCCAATGCTTTAAAGCACTCTAAGCTGATATAAGCTTTTTAATAGGTTACTTGTCATAATGCCAATTGAATATTTTCTGAATCAAAAATGACAAATTATCAAGGAGTACAAATAGACAAGACTTGTTTTTATATCACTTAGAATTTTTACATTCAAACATAAAAAATATCCTAATAATTTATCTGTGTCCGTAGCCCAAAAAATCTCTTATGGTGAAAATATCAGTAAGATAAGCAATGGAATTGCAGAGCACTGAGTTGCAAAGAATCATTTAATAGTGTTTAATGTTTATAAGTTCGTTTTAACAGTTCAAGAACAGGAAGATTGCAATAACTGTACCAGGTCTATGCAGATTAACGGGAAAGTTTGAAAAGTTGAGTTTCTGCCAAAAGAAAAACAAGCAAGTTTCTAGTATTTTTCATAGAAAATGAAAAACCTGTAGGCACCTGAAAACATTTGAATATGTATAAGAAGGCAGATTTTACACTTAGCTTGGTTTGGAAAAACTGTACCTTCCCCTTGTCTGTAACCAGCTGCCGAAAATGAAGATATCCTTCTTTGGCGGTGTCACAAAAGACTTCTGAAGCAGATGTTTTTCTGAATCCTGCATTTTCTGAAGATGCTTCGTTATTTGGAATCTAAAGAAAACATAATCAAACCAGGTTCAGCATGCTCTAATAATTCAAGTCTTCCTCTTCTCTCCCTTTCATCTGTCAGGTGGTAATACAGACAACTAGCATGAAGAGGAACTTAACACTAATGGAACAGTACATTCCAGTCAGCCAGCAGCTCAATGAATTACAGAAAAGGCCTGTCATATATCTCAATCAGTTGGTTTTCTTTTGATGCACAAGGAAGTAGTAACAATTCTTAAGTTAATTACAGAGTGTGCTGTCCTGTCTTTAGCCAAAAAAGAACTTTTTCATCAAATGCTATCTAATATTTTTAATTGGCAAAAGTCAGCAACATCTGTCCACTAAGCTTGGACATTAATCCAAAAAGAAAAAAGAAACACCCCACAATTAACCATATTCTCACAAACCTAGGTGCAATTTAATGCTTAGT